ATATATTAGTTTGTGCCAAAACAATAGATCCCTTCAGTAAACCAGATTAATATTTCATATTAATATTTCATTCAAATGTATAATATTTTCGCTACATCACGGGGTTTCTATTGAATTTCGCTGAAATTTTCGTAAATTGAAGAAGTGGTTACAAAGCTACAAAAAGATACAGCACAATGTCTAGAAAAGGTAAGATGTATTAACTATTACATCAAGTTTTTAGATGTTTTTGTCTTTATTAAGTACAATGTACACTGGTAATAATGATATTTAAATTTAAATGGATGTAACAATAATAAAAATTAAAAAAAAACACCATTTTTACAGCAAAAAGTTGACATTTTCACTTTGATAAACATTTGATTTCACTCATTATCTGAACTAACGTGTTGCTATATATAGTTACCATTCTGTTTGTTGTTCTGTCCAGAAGTCTATTTCTGAAAACCTATGATAGCTTATCAATGTTATTTCATGACTACAATTCTCTTTTATACTACAAACAATTTAATCACCTGTTGGTACATATCAATGTGACTGAAATTGTTCTGTTTTAATCACCTGTTGGTACATATCAATGTGACTGAAATTGTTGTGCTTGAAGTATTATCCTCAAGATCAATGTTTTTTATTAAACATAACAACATTACTGAAAAATGTGGTCACATTGACCTACATTCACACTAAATGTGATTTTGATAGAATCCATTTCTTTGGCCTGTCTGCAGTATATCAATGATTAAAACTGCCTCTTAACTCTTAAGAACAGCACAGTCCAAAACACTTGGATCACATAACCTATTTGGGAATTAGCTAAGTGACTGATAAAGTATAATTAGATGTCAGAATATCTTTAGAATCAAACAATGGCATATTTTTGTCATTTAAGTACTTCAATTCTTCTACTTTTCACCCTAATACCAACCTTCAAATATTGCATTAGTGTTTTCTTGACCAATCTAGTGCAGTATATGGTAAAATGAAATTTTCCAATATGTTTAGCCACCTTAAGCTTGGCAGGTTTCCTTTATGATTCACATTTTTGTCCTAGTCGATGAATTGTAAAATATATTTTTAGAAGTAGGGATCAGTATTTCTCCGACATACACCAGCTACTTGTACTTTTTAATTAGTTTTATTTACAACTCAAATATTTTTTCTTCATATTTTGATCCCTAGGTAAATGATATTTCATTCAAAACTCATTTGCTTTATTTGGTACTTAATTTACTTTTTTCTAATGGTATTATCCTCTTTTGAAAAGCCCAAATTTATAATAAGAAACACAGATTCAGGGTTTGTGACAATTTTCTAAAAAATATATTTGGGCAAACATAAAATATGTAGTGTTTCTGGCTCAATAAGTTTGTAAAAATAGTTTGCATTGCAGATTATCCATGGTTTATGTGTTTTCTTTCTCAATTTTCTTCCTGAATTGGATAATCAAGATCAGCAAGCGTTATTATTAATTATACAGATTTATTTAAAATGTGTAAGATGACGTAAAATAAGTAATTAAAATAAAATCCTTTTTATTACCGTTACATGAATCGAGGGACAGGTTCATTTCTATAATCTAAAGTTTTATTTTCTAATAAGCTGTTTTAAATCATTAAATATGGAAAGATTTCAAATTTCCTAAGCTTTACAGTTAATATTTTATTTGTAGGTTGTTTTCCATGCATATTTAAAATCACTTATAAATGACAGATTAAAATTTTTAAAATTGTAAAACATGCCAAATGATCTTTTTCTAATCCACAGTTATGATAGTAAAACAATGAAAATGACAAAATGGAAAATTATATCACCTCATGAAATTATTACTTCGTAATCCTTTCCTCCTTATTTTATGAAGTATATAACTCTTGTTGTCCAGCCTGCGACTTTTGTCGCAGAAAGCTCAACATAGGGATAGTGATCACTGATCCGGCGGCGGCGGCGTTAACTTACTTCTTAAAAGCTTTATATTTTAGAAGCTAAAAGACCTGGATGCTTCATAATTTGTATATAGATGCCTTGTGTTACAAAGTTTCCGTCTGTCAAATGTCCATTGTCCTTGACCTCATTTTCATGGTTCAGTGACTACTTGAAAAAAAGTCAACATTTTTTGTAATGTTAATTTCTTTCTTGTTATGAGTAATAGGATAACTATATTTGATATGTGCGTACCTTGCAAGGTCCTCATGCCCGTCAGACAATTTTCATTTGACCTCGACCTCATTTCATGGATCAGTGAACTTTGTTAAGTTTTCGTGGTCAAGTCCATATATCAGATACTATAAGCAGTAGGTCTACTATATTTGGTATTTGGAATGATTGTAAGGTGTACATGTCCATCTGGTAGGTGTCATCTGACCTTGACCTCATTTTCATGGTTCAGTGGTCAAAGTTAAGTTTTTGAGTTTTGGTCTTTTTTTCTAATATTATATGCAATAGGTCAACTATATTTGGTGTATAGAAATATTTTATGATGTACATGTCAGTCTGGCAGGTTTTATTTGACCTTGACCTCATTTTCACAGTTCATTTCTCAGTGTTAAGTTTTTGTGTTTTGGTGTGTTTTTTTTCAACTATAAGCAATAGATCAACTATATTTGTTGTATGAAAGAATTGTAAGGTGTATATGTCTGTTTGGCAGGTATCATCTGACCTTGACCTCATTTTCATGGTTCATTGGTCAATGTAAAGTTTTCATGGTTAAGTTTGTTTCTTAGATACTATAAGCAATAGGTCAACTATATTTAATCCATAAATTGATTGTAAGGTGTACATGTCTGTCTGGCATGGTTCATCTGACCTTGACCTCATTTTCATGGTTCATTGGTCAATGTAAAGTTTTCTTGGTTAAGACTGTTTCTTAGAAACTATAAGCAATAGGTCAATTATGTTTTGTTTATTGAATGATTGTAAGGTGTACATGTATTTCTCGTTTGGTTTATCTGACCTTGACCTCATTTTCTTTGATCATGTTAAGTTTATGTGTTACTTGTAGTAAAGCTTTATATTTAGGACTATCAACATGAAATCAATGGTTAGCAAAGAAGGCGAGACATACAGCGTGTGCATCCTTGTTTTAAAGAAACACGCTTTTTTATCAAGGACATTGAAAACATTATTGTTTTATATATGTAGGACTCTAAAGTGCGATGGGGACGCTAAAGTACGATGGTCACGCTAAAGTGCGATGGTCTGCGCTAAAGTGCGATGCCTCCATACGCTTAAGTCCAATGGTCCGCGAAAGCATAGACGTAAGAAACGTAGTTGGATTATGACGTTAACAGTCGTTTATACAAACCAAAAATGTACATGCTGGAAGATAAATTAAAATATTTGATTATCTTCTTTTAAACCAAATGTCCATGACTTTATTTCAAACCTAACTTTGTCCGCTGAAACAAATGTGGTTTTTTTTTTGGGTGCTGGAAGAAGGACTTGACAATGTGTCCTGCAGTCGACCATTTTACTATATAGATACAAAATAGTATACGCATAGGTATCCTGTATCCTGCTTCTATTGGAAGCGAACGGATACATTTGATTAAATCATTGTTTAAGTTAGTGTTTACTTTGCGGTCCCCGTTACAATATTGTCGATTTTATAGGTAACATCGGTAAAATAAAGGTACACGTAAATTATAACATAGTTTGTACATTGTAGGAAAATATAACATTTATTTGTACTCGCTACGAAAAAGGAGGAAGCTCGGCAAACTTCGCCCTTGCATTTACATTAAAGCTTGTACAAAAAAATGTTACTTATATTCCGACAATGAACGAATTTTGCATTTGTAATTTACAATGACGACTGTAAGGGAAGGTGTTCAGATTATTGATAGACTGTGTGAACGGCAAGCTACACCCATTATCCAAATATTTAATACGCCCGAATTGTTAAAAAAAACATTTACAGGAAATATAGTATTTTGTGACATCTTAATGACTTTTTTGCAATTATTACCTGGTAGGTCTTCTAAATTTAGAAACAATCATGTAAGCCTATCGGTAAATTATAAAGCCTGTCACATATATATGTTATACCTGAGCATACTAGCTTTTGAAAAAAATACTATTTATTAACATCCATGTACTCAAATGTTTTAATCCCTCGAACCTTACCCTATTGGTCCATTGCACTTTAGCGTGATATACCATCGTACTTCAGCAAACAAACAACCATCGCACTTTAGCGTGAGACACCATCGTACTTCAGCGTAGACCATCGCACTTTAGCGTGACCATCGCACTTTAGAGTACCATCGCACTTTAGAGTCCTACATATATAACAAATACTATTGACTATTTGATGAGTTGTCCTTCTTACAAATAGGGAATACATTTGTTCCTACTCCTAGATTGTAACAGATACTATTGGCTCAACAAATTCTCATGTGACTTTTTTCTAAAATTGACATTAAGATAAGGTAAGATACTGTAGTCTATAAAATAAAAATGGATTAGAAGATTGAGTGGTTTACACAATATTTTGATTGATTGATTGATCAATTGTTGGTGTTCAATGCTATTTTAAGCACTCTTGTTTTAGACCAGTTTTAATTTGTGGAGGATGCCATAGTAACCAATGTGAACCACATGACAATCATAGGCAGTTTCATATGATTTATGAATGCATCAAAAAAATTGTTTCTTTTTAAGATGTCAAAACAAAAGTGTGGTTCCATTGTGTTTTAACTTCTACCTAAAATTTTCTATTACCAAAATTAAAGATGGCACGACAGAAAATCAGATACCAGGAGACTTTTATATAGATTAACACAAAGAAATAAGACTTCCATTTCTGTAACATGTTATAGAAATAAGTATGCTTGCAAAGTTTCCTCCATTGTTGAAGCATTAATTTTTATGTAGGCATCAATATTTTCTAAATTAATGTAAATAAGTCTTTCTAATAATTTTTAAAAGTATTTTTTTCTGTTTTTTTATGACAGGACATAATAGAAATGGGAGTGAGACCCCCAGTCTTCCACATGTCCATCAGCCTAAATATAAATGTCACCATTGCAATAAATCTCTTGATGGCTTGTCCATATACGGTGTGGAGAATTCTGAAACAGTCAGCATGCAATCTTCAGCATCCAAACCAAAAAAGTCGATCGATATCAAGATGCCACCAGTGAAAAAGATGAATGAAGATCCGGAGGCATTGCCACATGCACATACCACTTCTGGTCCTTGTTATTTCTGTAGTGAGCATAAAGAAGATTATGAAAAGTTAGAGAGGTACCAGCCAACTTGGAGGGCAAAGGTCAGCTTTATTAAGTCTCCCAAATGAAGTTTGGGAAGACTTATTGGTTTTGCTCAGTTCTTATTATTATTATGGCACCCTCAACGGAGTTGGGGTGACATACTGTTACTGTAAATTCAGAAATTATTGCGTGCATTTATTATTGCGATTTTGTCATTTTAGACTTAAATGCGATTTTAATTTTTACGATTTTCAGAAAAATCCTGTTTAGTTCATATAAAATATTTCAAAATGCGAGTTTAAATTATTGCGTTTACAACTCTGTCGCATTTGTTGCAATAATAAAAACCTCGCAATAATTTCTGAATTTACAGTATTCTACGTTTCTTTTTTTTCTTATTTTTCTTCCACACATTTTGTCCGCGCGAGTTCTTGGAATCCAATGGACCAATGTTGATGGAACTCTACTATAATGAGGACCCCATGTAAAGTTGTGCACCTTGCTATGGAATGGTAAAAAATGGCCGCCTTTTCCATGGAAACATCAAAAATGCGAAAAAAATCAAAGTGTTCCAAACTGGAAGAAACTCCACAGGAATGGTAACTGGCATGTGCTGATTTGCAGTTTGATTTCGGAATTTTCAAAATGGCTGCCGTGACCATGGAAACAGCTAAAATATAAAAAATTCCAACTCTTTCGTTATAAGACCCAACTAGATGAAACTTTATGAAAATGTTATCCGTTATGCTAAGATGTCAAGACAATATTTGGACAGTCTTAAATGGCCACCGTTGTCATGGAAACTGGGGGCAAGTTTTACATTGACCCTATGGGAATATGCATAAAATCTGAATTTCTTAAAGAGTATTTCACCAAAGTAAATGAAACTTTATTGATATATAACATGACATGTGGCAATGAGATGTCTGCTTTTAGAATTTTGGAATTATCCACTGTAACCATGGAAACATTAAAAATGTCAAAAATTTCAAAATAATCAAAATGCTGCAAACTGGATGAAACTTTACAGAAATGGTAACTGACATGGGCAGAGTTGCATTTTGAAGTTGGAATTTTCAAAACGGCAGCCGTTACCATGGAAACTGCAAAAATGTCAAAATTTCAAAATGCTCCAAAATTTATTGAAACTTTACAAAAATATTAATCAGCATGTGTAGATGCACTCTTTGACTTTGGAATTTTCAAAATGGCTGCCGTTACCCTGGCAATGGGGGAAGGGTGCCATCCGTTATTGCTAGTAATTACAAATCTAGTTATTATTCTTGCTCTTCCGCCACTTTTTTTAATGAACTTGTCGCTGCATTTCTCCAAAACCGCTTGTCAGATTTACTTAAGGTTTCACAATATGTTAGATTAACATGTCTAGTGGTGCAATCAGGGTTTCCTTTGTGCATTGGGGTCTAAAAAGGGGTACTTTGAGAGGCCAAAAGAAGGGAGGGGTTTACTATAGAACCCTATGGGATTTTTTTTTCTTTTTTTTTTCAAATGATTATAACTTGAAAACCGTTAGTGATAGACACAATCTTTATAACTGAAAATGTTCTACATGATAAAGCACATCTAATGAAACAAAGGGTTTCGTCCCCAGGAGTCACCCCCACCCCCTGCCATTTGACAAAGTTGTAATATCTTGTAAGTGGTCAAGATCCCCACCCCTAAACCATATATATTCTAGTTTGTCATGATAAAGCACATCAAATGAAATAAAGGGTAAGTCCCCAGGGGTCACCCCCAACCCCTGCCATTTGAGAAAGTTCTAATATCTTGTAAGTTGTCGAGATCCCCACCCTTAAACCATATAAATTCTTGTTTGTCATGATACAGTCCATCAAATGAAAAAAAGGATTAGTCCCCAGGGTTCACCCCAACCCCCTGCCATTTGAGAAAGTTGTAATATCTTTTAAATGGTCGAGATCCCCACCCCTAAACCTTATATATTCCGGTTAGTCATGATACTGCACATTAAATGAAGTAAAGTATTAGTCCCCAGGGGTCACCCCCACCCCCTGCCATTTGAGAAAGTTCTTATATCTTGTAAATAGTTGAGATCCCCTCCCCTAAACCATATATATTCCTGTTCGTCATGATAAAGCACATCAAATGAAATAAAGGGTAAGTCCCCAGGGGTCACCCCCACCCCCTGCCATTTGAGAAAGTTCTAATATCTTGTAAATGGTTGAGATCCCCTCCCCTAAACCATATATATTCCTGTTCGTCATGTCACAAAGATTCGAATGATATATAGGGTCAGTCCCCAGGGGTCCCCCCACCCCCAATGACCTAATATCTTGTAAATGGTAGAGATCCCCGCCCCTAAACCATATATATTCTTATTCGTCATGCCAAGAAGATTTGAATGATATATAGGATCAGTCCCTAGGGATCACCCCCATCCCCTGCCATTTGATAAAGTTCTAATATCTTGCAAATGGTTGAGATCCCCACTCCTAAACCATATATATTCCTGTTCGTTATGTCACAAAGATTCGAATGATATATAGGGTCAGTCCCCAGGGGTCCCCCCATCCCCAATGATCTAATATCTTGTAAATGGTCGAGATCCCCACCCGTAAACCATATATATTCTGGTTTGTCATGCCAAGATGATTTGAATGATATACAGGGTCAGTCCCCAGGCATTACTAATGCATACAACTTTACTGGACTTTGCCCAATGTCAGGCGAACCTGGGAATGACGAATTATGGGAGCTTCGTTTGGGAGACTTCGTAACAGCATCCTGTTACAATCATTTCTTGTTTTGTTCATGTTTGATTGCTCATACTCTGTATTGATATATTATAATGACAATAAAATATTGGACTTATTTATTTTTTTCATATATAGAAAAATGTCAATGATTCAATTATTTCATGACAGCATTGTTGATTTGGAAAAATAATTGAATTTAGAAGATCCGTCAGTCCTTTTCAGCAGATTTTTTTCAGATTCCATGATTATCGTATGTTCATTTCTCAATACTATAATTAAGCAAAAGGTCAATTACAAGTATATTTTGTGTATGGAATGATCTTTAGGTGTACATATGTTCTTTCCCACAAAAACATTAGATATTGTTATTTGTATGGACATTTGTAGTTTTATCTGTAAGAATTATATAACCACTTCTGTAAACATATCATGTGTGTCATCATACAAAGTTTGACAGATTGCCAATTTTATTCATTTCAGCTGATTTTTAAATGTTCCCCATATTTTAGTTTTACACTTAGCTCTCAGAGTGATGATTTTAGTGTCTTGAATTCAGTGCAGATTGACAGGATGTGACAAACAATTAATTATTACTTAGTTTTCCAAGTCTTAACAGTTCCTTACATAGATAAATTCTAATCGCTATCTGTATACAATGCAGCTGATACGGAATGAATGTTTTTCCGTTGTTTCCTTGTTTTTGTTAATGATGAGCAGATTGTGAAGCAGAAACATTATGAAGAACATTACATATTTCTTATACATAGTATATAATTTAGAATGTTCATTATGGGTGTTTTGTGAATTGATACTACAATCTTTACCAAAGATAATTATTACAGAACTTAACAGTTAAACTGCATTTTTGTAAGATAATTATGTATAGATAGATCTCTCAACAAGTCTTTTCCATCCCACAGATGAAAAACAGTATAAATTCTTTTTTAAATAGACTGTGATCTTAACAAAAGATAAGTACAAAAAAATGTCTTTTAGATTTTTAAAATAAATGGCATTTTTATAAGAGAATATATATATATTACAGTAACAGGTCTTTCCCTCATCCCACAGTTTATTTATAGTACAAACTCTTTATTGTGATCATAACTCAAGATAGTATTACTGCAAGAAATAGGCAAACACTATATTTTTTTTTGGGTATTTATATTGAACATTTTTTTTCAATCTAACATTTGAATTAACAGTAAGATTAATTTTGTATTTCACCTAAATGTAGTACACATGTTTTAAGGATATATGAAATACTTGATGTATCTACTATAAACAATATGTTTGTGATGTAGTACACATGTTTTAAGGATATATGAAATACTTGATGTACCTACTATAAACAATATGTTTTATATTTGCTAAGAGTGATCAAAGTGATGAAAGTCATCAGAGTAATGATAGTGACGAAGAATTTGACAGAGCTGATACGTTGGTATGGTGTGACACCTAGTTGTTTTAAATGCTATTATGATTATTTATTTTGGCTTGGTTATTATAGGAGTCACTAGTAGTACATGTATATTAGTTGTACAAGTTGCAGTGAAGAATATATATACATTTCATTTTATAGCAGTAGTATCATATCATACCAACCTCATAGCAAAACTTTTGATATATACATTTTATAAGTAAAAAATTTATTCACAACTCATCATGCACCACATAGCAAAACATACCAGTATTTATTACTTTGTTAACATATCCCTATTCTAAACCCTCTTAGATTTGGATTTACAAAGAAATTCTTACAACTTGTTTGTTCAGTTTGATATTTATGTAAAGTTGTTGAAGCAGTAGTTAGATATTGAAATCAATAATGTTCTTTTTAAATAGCTTTCTTCGGGTGATATTACTTTTTTATTTTCAGGTGATCCATCTGATTTCAATGCCTCAAGTTTTTAGGAACAACAAAATTAAATAAAACAATAAAATTAGAGCTATTTTCCTAATGCTTGTAGTTTAAAGGTTTGGTGGGCTTGCTTGCTTTGTTTGCATACATGATTGCTCAAGCATTGTAATTAAGATTGACATCTGCAATCAATAGATAAGCGGGGCTTCAGCTTGTATACATTATACTTATAAATGTTATTGGATGTTAAGTATAACACAGAGTATAATGTGTACAAGCTGAAGCCCCGCCTAACTATTGATTGCAGATGTCAATCTTAATTACAATGTTTGAGCAAACATGTATACAAACAAAGCAAGCAAGCCAATCAAACCTTTAAACTACAAGCATTAGGAAAATAGCTCTAAAATAAAATTAAAATTACATGAATCAGGCAGTTAGTTTTCTCGTTTGGATTGTTTTACAT